AACACCACTCTGGGACTCAGCCATGGGGACGGTGGCTTCATCAGAGAATCACTTGTTTGTGCTTTAAAAAATGCAGCTCATGGAGCCACGTCCACATCTCCTGGCTCCTCCAGCCCCGCCCAGAGACCGCGTCCTCCCTGGAGGGAGTCGCTGGTCTGGACGACAGCCGATGCACACGGCCCGGCCTGTCTTCCCTCTGCCCAGGTTAGAAGTGAGTTCCTTCAGCCAGCCTCCTTGAAGATGCAAGAACACTGATGGTGAGTCACATAGAAATACACAGGTAGGGGGCTTCCGTGGCCCAGGGTTTCACCGGTTTGGATCCTGAGCGTGGACATGGCACCGCTCATCAGGCCACGGTGAGGCGGCATCCCACATGCCACAACTAGTAGGACCCACAACTATAAAAAAGTAAACTATGTACTGGGGGCATTTGGGGGAGAAAAAGCAGAAAAAAAAAAGAAATACTCAGGTAGTTTATTACCCGAGAAGGCAACTCATATACAGAGGCCAAAACAAAGACGTTGATCCAGGCCAAAACAAAGACGTTGATCCATCCAGTGAGACCACCAGCCGAGCCTTTGTTGAGCACCACCACCATCCTTTGAACATCCTAGCTTCAGTCTTGGACCTTTTAACAAAGCTTTCTTCAAACTCGCAATTAAAATCTCTTTTGAAGTGAGTTTGTATAAGCTTCTTATTTCTTTCCACCTGTTCTCTCCAGGTGTTTTCTCTCCCATCTGTCACTAATTTTTCCTGAATTAGGCGACATTTCCTTTAGGGGGGCATGAAATATATAGGAAGGATGCAATATTGATCTTTGTTGATATTATTATTTTGATAGGCAAACATAAAGCAATCAATAGGCATTTATGAAAAACTGACTACATGCATGGAACCATGGCGTGTCGGACAGGATCTTGCATATAGTGGACACTCACAAAATAATGGTCAGATTGATAGGATGGGGTGTCCAACAGATGTCCCTACATTTTGTATGGGAAGCATGTGGTTACTTTAGACATAAAAAATAATAAACTTTTTGCAGCATACTTGATTCCTGCTTGGAAAAAAGTAAAGTCTGTAAAGCTGTGCATGTTCTGTCTGCACACAGAATAAAATTCGGTTTGGAAATTGCAGTGCAGGTAACTGTGTGTCTATGTGGATTTGAGTAGAAGGAGCGGTCTTGTGCCAAGCAGATTGATTTTTATTTTTAAAAATAAAGAAAAGTAGCTGAGGGAAAGCAAGACAATAGTTATCCTGGGCTGAGAAAAGTTGAAAAGTGTTGTTAGAGATTCCATTTTCTGTTGTAATAATGATAAAAACCTGGAAATGGAAATCACCATGGTATTTTCATTAATAGGGAGACCTTAAGTACCAAAATGTTAACAATATTGAATTTTGATCACCTAATATTCAAATTCTTGTTATAATCTTTCACCACACCCATCTCCCAGGAGAGGTTTCCCGAGTTTGATTTTGTAAAACAGTTCACGATTCACCAATATCTTCAACACAAAATTCAATCTCATTAATACAAGTGCCAGAAATGAATTACCCTTGATAAATGGAGAAATGAACTGAAAAGTGAATTCCCTTCCCCCCAACCCACAGAAAGCGCAGGCCCCACTGTCAGCTGCCCGCCCGCTGAAGGGGAGGACGCGCGGGCATTGCTGCTATCTGCCGGCGTGGTTCAGTCCCTCTGTGATTTCCTGCTGGAATATTTTCTCACAAAAGTGATGGCAATTTGAGGAGTTCTTCCCTAATAGGAAATATGTCTTATGTTAGAAAAGCCAGTGGGAGCTTCCTAGGGTAATTGAGAGCTATTTTTAGTATTCTAAGTTATATTGTGAGTCTCCGGATGAAGATATTCTAAGAGATAAACTGATATTGAGAAATTCTGACAATGCTGATGACAGAAAGGGAAGACAGAGTGTGAAGGGATCGAATCGGCTTACAGAGTGGAATGGTGCACAGCCATCAAGAATCATGACCTAGAAGGATATGTAAGAGCATCGAAATGTCAGTAGGAAGTATTATGTAAAAAATCCAGGTCTCAGATCAAAATATTAAGTAGGAATGTATTTTTATAAGCATTTACATAGACAAAAACCCTGGAAGTTACCAAATATTGGTAGTGGGAGGAGAAAGGGGTCAGAGCCAAGGGGTGGTCAAGCCTAGGTTGGCCAAGGCTGGCGCTGCAGGTGAGTCACGTCCGGTAAGAAGTGATGAAGGAAGCGATGGCTGTTCTGGATGAAGGGAACATCGGAAAGCCCTGAGTGAAGAGTGTGCTTGGCGTATGATATTGATCCACCTATTCAATTATGTTGAAGACCCCGGGCTGTTACCAAGAAGTCAGAGTGCAGATGGCAGCTTTCAGCGCCCATTGACAAAAATTAAGGACTAATGTGATGAAGACATGAGAACCCAGCAAACAAGCTCCCCCCATGTGAAGAGCATCTTTCAGCCTCTCTATTCCCGTTTCTCTTGATATCCCCCCTCTTTTTATGGAAAGTGTATCTCCGGGAGTGTGGGGTGCCCGTAAAAGAAACTGGTTTAAAACTGTAGAACCGTGAAAACCCAAGAGTAGAGGGAGCTCCAGGCAAGGTGAGTGGAGGGGTGCAGAGACCATCCGGGACCTGCTTTGCCCTGTGCCGGCTTCACTTAGGGAGCCCGAGCATCTGTTCTTGACCCAAGTGAAGGAGCATCATGTCTTTCCTTAGAGCCCCAATAAACGGTTCCGGAAAAATGAGTTTTTATTGACTTGCCTTGAGTCATTTGTATGTTCCTTAACCAAGTCCTGGAGCTGGAGGGACAACGTGTTCTGGTCAGCAGGTTAGACTCAGGAGGGGGATGAAGTCCACGGAGTCATCCCTGGAGGGTGTGTGCCGGGCAGGGGCAGAGAGGGCTCCCACCCAGAGTGAGATGAAGACAGACAACGAACGCCACAGAGCATCCTGCGTCCCCTCTGAGTTGACGCCCCTGCTTCTCCGCCATGAAACATTGGCCCTGTGCTTTACCGATAGGCTGGAAAAGATCAAATCAGTCAGCACAAGGGAAGTTCCCGGTCCTTTTAAATCTCCCCGTTGCTTCTCATTTATCTATGGTGACGATTGCTTTGTTTCACTTCCCCTTTTTAAAATGCCAACCAAGCAGTAAGAAGTGGCTGTGAGGTTGAATAACTGTCACGAAAGCAGTTTCAGTAAAAATAAATAAAGCACGTAAAGGACCTATTTACTCAAAAGCAGAATCCCTGCCAAGGAAATTGTGACAGTTAAAGGGAAAGGCGCCATCTGGTGGCTGCATCCTTTCACACTGTCGCTAAAACTCAAAGGATTTGGGAATTCGGCTCTATTTGGGGGGAATTATCTTATCAGTGAGAGGGAAAGAAGGTGACTACAGAATAGACGTTATGTTGCAACTTAAAAAAAAAAAGCCAGGATCTAACTGGAAACAATGAGAAAATTTATTGAAGGCATAGTTATACGTATTCATATGGATACAAAATATCTACATATATTCATTACGTTTCATTGTGTCTGTGATCAGTTAAGCCCCGCCCCAGCTTACTACTGGAAGCTGAAATTTCCAGCATATGACTGGCAGCATCTCCAGCTACTGGATTTCACTGATTCCACCAGGTGCGTTTTCATTCACATTCAGTGACCCAATAACACCGCCACTAGTTTAACTGTGACAGCCAACGAGGTGAATAAGTCTTAGTCACACAATGAGGAGTGGAAGGAGCCAGTCCCCAAAATTTACCCACCACGTGCTGTCCTTTTATAAAGTTAAAGTCAACTGAAATGAGAAATACGTATATTTTAGGATGACATACAGATGTAATAAACATTCGTGAAAAGTAAACCAAGAGAACAGTTTCTGTGAGTCAGGGATGGTGGGGATACCGCCAGGGAACAAAATTGTTATTGTCAGGATTTTAAGATAATAAAAAATACACAGGTATGAAATATATTTGCAAAATAGAAGGCCTTCCAGGAGCTCTGTGGTCTGTCCCGCAAGTCCATTTCTCAGCACAATTTTTGTTGTGTCTGCTGTTAAATCAGTTTGGAGCTGCTTCAGGAGAAATTGTGGGGAGACAGAGGGATGGAGGATGTTTTTCTGCTAATTTTTGCAGGTTTCAAAGAAAAGAAATGGTACTTGTTTATAAGTTGAGGTTCTTTCGCAGTCTGATCATTGCCGTACAGCACCTTCCTGGAACAACATAATGTTAGAACAGAAAGGGACCTTAGAGGTCTACTTGAACCTCTTTATTTTGCAGATAAGGAGACTGAGGCTCAGAGAGGTTTTGTGCATTCCCAAAGCCACACAGCAACACAGCGAGGCAAGAACAGGCCATGGAGTTGACCTCAGGCCTCCAACTCCCAGCCTGGTGCTTATTGAAGAACACTGTGCTGCCGTCTCCCAACCACAATTCAAGATGGGAATTATGCCCGTGGCCTTGGTGACCTTCAATTGATGCTCGCAAAATGCCTGCCAAAAATCTGGGAAAGAACAGTTTACCTGTGAAATCACAAATGGAATGGATTCTGTTTGCGGAACAGCTGGGTTTTGGCGAGTTTTGTTGTTGCTGTCTTTTGTCTTTTTGAGAAAGCTTAGCCCTGAGCTAACATCCACGGCCAATCCTCCTCTTTTTGCTGAGGAAGACTGGCCCTGAGCTAACGTCCGTGCCCATCTTCCTCTACTTTATATGTGGGACGCCTGCAACGGTATGGCTTGACAAGCAGTGCCATGTCCACACCTGGGATCCGAACTGGTGAACCCCAGGCCGCCGAAGCAGAATGTGCGCCCTTAACTGCTGCGCCACCCGGCAGGCCCAGAACAGCTGTTTTTTTGAGGGAAGTGAATGGCATTTACAGTGCACAAACGGACTACTTTTCCTTATTAAACGTTTCTTTAAAATATTTCCACTTACAGACCTATGGAGGTTAAATTGCATATATTAGATTTTCATATAAGCTGTTCTTAATGAATAGTCATGATATGTTTAAATATTTATTATTAAAATGTGACAAAAATATCTCTTCAGAAAAGAGGGAAAACAGCCTATTGTATTCAATATTCATGGACAACAAAATAAGACGATACTGAACAGAAGGAACCAGGTAATATATGATCAGTATCAACACAGACCCGCCATTTACCTTTTTATAAAACGTTGAGCTAAACATTTTGTTACTGAAGGCATGGAAAGGTTTCGTAAAGGAGAGAGCATTAATGATTGGCATTACCTTTATTTTGAAAAACCTGCAACATTTTCATTCAAAATGAGGATGCTGTAAGCGCCTGTGCCCTTGACTGACCCAGCACTGACCTTTGATGATTGGTTCAATCGGCCCGTGTTGAACACAAGCCACAGCGCCGCTCAAGTAGATCCAGTGAGGAGGGCCCCTTGTGAGCATGTGTGAGAGGCAATAAAGAGATTGCATATCACAGAAATTTTTACAAATCAGAAGAGGGCCAGCTTTTACGGCTGTGTTAGGCATCCAAGGCAGCTCCAAGAGCCCACAAAGAGGGCCCCTGGGGCTCCACTCTCTATTAATAGAATCCAGCTCCTCTGTATTCTGACCCACTTTCCTCACTTCCTCCTGGCTTGGACTGTCTGTGCTTTTTAATATAATTATTGCGAGAGGGCTTCTGCTGGGTTCAGCTAATAACCACCAATTAACAATATTTGGGTGGAGCCTTTGGCATCAGATCAGGTCACAGACCGGAGGCCAGCCTGCGAATGGACTGTCATTGACACAGGGGCCCATTTCTAAATCAGTCTTGGCCGCAGGATCTGTGACTCATATCCTAGCTGCTGAACCCCAGGGCCTGGGGATGGTGGCCATTTCCTCAAGAGCTATGGACACATCAGGCACTGTGACAGATTTGTCTCATCTGTGCATGCATTTAAGGAACCACATCGCACATTCTTGATGGAAACGCAGAAAGCAACCTTGCTGGGCAGCATCTTGTGAAGGCTGCTGCCTCTCTGTTCTTTTCGCTCCGAGCCTCAGCAGGGTGCCTGGGTGCTCAACAGTGTCTCTGAAGGTCAGAAATATTTCTGTCATAACACTTCAAAGTACGTGTAGTGAAGAACGACCCCGAGCCAAAGAGAGGTCTGGCCTTTTCCCTCGGCTCCGGCGAGGTCATCTCTAACCCCTGCCTGATAAGAGCATCTCTGTTTACCTGGGCTGTGGGTCACACCAATAGTCTACAATGTGATTTATGGTGGGGACTGTGGGCCATGCGGTATCACTCAACTTCAGGAGCAACTAGGGGCTAAAGGTCAGCCAGGTGGAAGGCCAGCCATGTTGGCATGACTAAATCCCAATAAACCTCTGGACACCGAGGCTTGGGGAGCTTCCCTGGTTGGCAAAACTCCACGTGTACCGTCAACATCATTGCCGGGAGAAGGTGCTGTCCGCAGTTCCACGGGGAGGGGACACCTGGAGGCCCCATGTGGGGGCGTCTCCTGGACACTGCCCCGCCCCTCTTCCTTGGCTGATCTTAATCTCCACGCTGTCACTGTAGTAAACCAAAACCGTGAGTACAACAGCTCTCAGGGTGAGTTCTGTGAGTCCTTCTAGTGCACGATCGAAACGGAGACTGCTCTGGGAACTCCCAAACTCTGCAAAGTATTACTATCCTTTACTGAACTTTTACTGTTTAAGTGATTACTGAAAGTAACTTCAAGTAAAAAGCACATGCAATTTAGAAAAACAACAAACACGAACACGTGTGTAAATTAAGCCACAAAGGTGCATTTCTGCAGTTAATGTCCAACCTTACATCACGAAGGCACCACAGAAAATTCCTTCATCGGTTGGTGGCCCAGGGCTGAGAGAAGCATCCTTGGCCTTGCCCAGTCCCAGCAACTTTCCTCGCTGTCCTGTTATAGCTCATCGTAAGTCCTGTCTGAGCCACGATGTTCTGTGTGGACACTGAGACACTCTTGTATTTCTCTCTCTCTCTCAGCGGCTGCCCAAATGCTTAGCATGACTCTCAGGGATGTGCTGGAGTTGGCTTATGCCAGCTCACAAAATCCAGATGTTAGCCTCTCTGACTCCTGGACCCCACACTGGCCCCTTGAAGGCATCCATGGTGAACCCCACACTGGCACCTTGAAGGCATCCATCCTGGACCCCACACTGGCCCCTTGAAGGCATCCATCCTGGACCCCACGCTGGTCCCTCGAAGACATCCATAGTGGAAGTATTTATAACATGGGAGTCCACATGCTGCAAACCTGGGCTTTCCCTCCCGCCCCTCCAAAGCCAGCTGGTAAACCTTTACCCACTGAGCAGGAGTCTTTAACTGCATTTCCTCAACTATCTGCTGCACTTCATCATCAGCTGGAGACCACCAGCTACAACTCCCTTCTGGACCAGAATCCAGTCTCTGCCCAACGCCCTCTCACCCTGGCCTCTGTATGTTTCTGCTCTAAGCTGCACCACTTCCACAGCACCATATGGAAGCGGATTTGTAGCTCCTGTCTTTTCAGAGGATGAGTCACTTCCAGGGGGCTTAGGGAACGCTGAGAACGTGTCTCTCGTTGCACCCCTCCAGATCGGTGCTTCCCAAACTCTCCGTGACGACGGACCGGTTTGGTGTTTTTTTCTAATTTCCAATCCTGATGGACTGATACTTTTCTAAAATACAAAAAAACAAAAATAAAAACAAGAATTATTAGAACAATAAAATAAAATAAACACAAAATAGGAATCCTGAATTTTTGGAATGAGTTTTAAAGAAATAATTGTTCTGTTAGAATGTTACAAAAGCTTCTAAACTTTCTAAACTCAATTTCTACACTTAACTTCTTCAGTTCCTAAACTCTTAATTTCAGCACTTGAACTTCTAAATTCTTGGTTTTGAACTTAGCTTACTGTAGACCAGAAACAATATTCACAGACCACATTGAGCGGCACAAGAGGACACCTCCTTACAGGGAGAGGAATGTGGCCATAGCATTGGGAGAGTTTACCGTTTGACTCCAGTTTGCTCGATTTCAGGAAGGTCACACATTTATATTTCATATCATTTGAGACCAGGCCTATTGAATGAAAATATATCAAAATTTTGAAACCCACTTGCGTTTCATATGATAATTGATCATAGACAAGCAATAGAATCCTAACCAGGTTTTCAAGTGTGTAAATTTATCTATAAACCCACTGCATATTGACCGGGAGAATAAATTTTTACAATGCAAAGAATTAACTCTGTTGGAACTCATTTAGAAGATGCTGACACAATTAATCAGATCACCTATTAGTTGGTTGAAATCATTTATAATATAACCAAGATAGCTCAACAAGTTCACCAAGAACATATATATTTCTTCCAATTTTTAGGTTTAATACTCCCCTTTATAATATACTAAAAATTTGAATGTTCAAAATGTCTCCTAAAAGCTAGAATGTGTGTATAATAGTTTATATATAATTTATGTTGAAAAAGAGAAAAATCCAAGTGAGATATTTTAATTCAATGGTTAGATTGATACAAATGAAAAAAGTACATGCACACAATAAGCAAGATGATTCCTTTAATGGAAATTAGCTACATATCTATTCCTAGTGGGAAAAAATTTATATTGAGTCCAGATAAGTTTCTAAATGTGCCGTTCTGTAGATTCATACATTTACCATTGTAACTAAAGGGTCAGAAAATAATTCAAAAGACTTAGTAAAGGGACTTATTGAGCAGATACCCTCTGGAGAAGCTGAAGGGCTGGAAGAGACGATGGATCCAGTGACTCTGAACAGCTGGATCTTCTTATTAAGGCAACAAATAAATTATTACAGGATCTACTCGTGGGGTGCTCTGATTAGCACTTCAGATACATTATCTCTTTAAATTTTAGCAAAATCCTATGGGAGGCCAGCCCAGTGGTGTAGTGGTTAAGTTCTATACATTCTGCTACAGCAGCCTGGGTTTGCAGGTTCAGATCCCGGGTGGGGACCTACACCACTCATCAAGCCGTGCTATGGCAGCATCCCACATACAAAATAGAGGAAGATGGACACAGGTGTTAACTCAGGGCCAATCTCCCTCAAGCAAAAAGAGGAAGATTGGCAACAGGTGTCAGCTCAGGGCCAATCTTCCTCACCGAAAAAAACCCACAATCCTATGAGAGAAGTCCTTTCCTGACTCACCAACATTCCATTTTACGGAGAGTCATTTTATGTGATGTGATTTAAAGAGCTAATCGTATGTCCTGAAAAGTCTGTAGTAATATGTTCCTTTGGGTTAATTGAAACTATCTCGAAAATATCTATTTCAAACTTAAATATTTCCAAGAGAAGAAAACTGCTTATCATTTCTCAAAATTGTGAAGAAACAACAGATTACAAACTCTTGTGTTCTGTTTATATGTATTTTAAAGCGACATTTCTTTGCGAAGGAGTAGACCCTTTAAGAAATGTGTTTGGAGTCAGATGTTAGAGTGACTATTATCGTGTTTACGGCAGTGGTTGGTAACAGGGGCTCTAAAGCTTTGAAAGCAGCATTTATTCAGCTCCTCCTACAGGCTATAAACTTTCTGTTCTTTATGAGATAGGAAATATTATCTCTCTAGGACAGGAAACTGAAATTTAAAGAACTTGGGTAATGTGCTGAAGGTCACAGAGCTCGTAAGTGGCGGAACCGAGACCTAAGTCTAGGACCTTCTAACATAAAACTTCATTCAATACAGCTACTTCCCCTCAAGGTGAAGGACAATCCTAAGCAATCTGCTGGAAATTATATTTTATGCCTTTTGATTCTAAAGTAGTAGCATCAGATAACAAAAATCTTATAGGGCTAAAGGCCACTTGATGGAATTTAGACCCAAAGGTGCGGGGCATCCCACAGCCTCTTCTCTGTCTTAAAGGGATGAGAGAAAGTGCAGAGGAGCAAGAAGAGAGAGGAAAGTAATATCTTATGGCAAAGGGCGCAGAGGTGGGGAGTTGCTCTCAGCTCAAGCAGATGTTTTCAGGGATCAGCAAAAACGTCCGCCAGGAACAGAAAACATGAATGGCTCGCTACATGCTAGAAATGGCCCTCAGAGCGCGAGGCACGAATATAAATTGTACATGGCCCCTGCCTTCAAGAAGCCACAAGTAAATGGATGAATATGCTTCCTTTCCAGGAAAATGAATGCAGAAAACCAAAAGCTGAACAGCACACTTTAAATTCACACAAGAAAAGAGCTGCATAGAAGCTCACGGCTTTTCTGTTTAATGCTTTCTATTAATCTATTGGAAAGCACATCTAGAGAAATTGCGCACATTCTTAGCCCTTGTTACTATTGAAGTAATATGTACCTAGGAGAAAAAGAACCATTTCAGAAAGGCATGCAGTGAGAAGTAAACATCCTCTGTCCCCCAGATTCCATTTCTACACCTTAAACATAACCGTGATTAACAGATCTTTATGCTTCCAGATATTTTTAATTGCTATGACGTTGATATCTATATCCATATTTTTAATTTAAACATTTTTATTTTAAAAAGGTTTATACTGGTGTTTCCTCAAAAAAATCAAAAATAGAATTAGCATGTGATGCAGCAATTCCACTTCTGGGTCTATACCCTAAAGAAGTGCCAGCAGAGGCTCAAACAGGTGTTGGTACACCCACGTTCCCAGCGGCACTATTCCCAACAGCTAAGAGGAGGAAGCCACCCAAGAATCCCTCAGGAGATGACGGGCTAAGCCAAACGTGGTAAATAGAGACAACAGAAGATTATTCCACCTTACAAAGGAAGGAAATTGTGACCCACGCTACGACATGGGTGAACCTTCGGGGGGCTGTGCTGGTCTCAATAAGCCAGATGCAAAAGGACAAACACTGTAAGATTGCGTTCACACGAGGCATTTAGAGCAGTCCTAGTCATGGAGACAGGGAGGATGAGGGTCATGGGGGCAGGGGGGAGGGGGCGAGAAGCTGCTGTTTAATGGGGACAGTTTCACTTTGGGAAGATGACGAAAGTTCTAGAAATCATGGTGATGGTTATAAACAATGTGAGTGTACCTAATGCTGCAGATCTGTACACTAAAAACTCGTTAAAATGCTCAATTATCTGTTACATATAAGTTCCCACAATTAAAAACGAAGACTTTTTAAAAACAAAGGTCATCCTTCCCACAATTTGCTATTTGGGGATAACACTATGGATTGGCCATCTTGTTGTATGGGCACCTGTGGCCTGCCGCTTTGTTCTGGTAAGAGATATTGAATGAGTTTTCCCTATTTTTTTAAGAACCTGTTAAAAGCAGGGGCAGGAGGAGGAGGAGAAGAGTCACAGGATAGGAGAGTGCATGGTCCCCGTCAGGGAGATGAGAAGGCCCTGCCTCCGTGGAGATGGCTGGAGCTCACCGGCTCCTGACCTGGAGAAACGGGCATGCTGGGCCGCCAAGTCAGAGCATGGATGCATGGTGCAGGCCAAGGCTGTGAATTTAGTCCTAACGCGGAGTAAGGAGGCTGGGAGTGGAAAGCAGTCCTCTGTAAGATGGGGTAAGCGATGCGGAAGGAAGGCAGAAGGAGGCTGAGGGGAGCGGGGGGAGAAATAAAACCTCTTCATGGCTGGTCTTCACTGAGCTCCAGCTGTTTGATCCCCCAGGCACGTTGTTAAGCAGGGCATGCTCTTCAGCACAGCATTGCATCAGACGGATGTACAAAGATCTGTTAGACGGCATTAGGTGTGTCTGTATTTACAAATACTCCGGGCACAGATTTTTCGCAGTCTTTGTGAATATATGCCTATGGTGAGCTCGGAGGGGGAACATGCATGATTTCACCTTCTGATTAACGCTGCCAAGTAGCACTCTAAAACCTTTACAGCAATTAATATTCCCACCAAATGTATGCGAGAGCTGTTACTCCAGACGCCAGTAATTTTCCAACTCCTAAATCTTTGCCTGTTGGATTGGCTAAAAATGGTTTCACATTTTGTTTTCATTTTTATTTCCTTAGTTATGAGTTTGAGAGTCTTTCGTCTCTTGGTTGGTCATTTGTAATTCTATTTTTGAACCAACGTTACCAATTTTTTATTTGCATCTTTCTTAGAGATTTGTAAGAATCATTTGTATTCTAAGGCCTTTTTCTGTCATGAGGTCTGCAAAAAACTTTTTTTATGGTGCGTTTTTTTCCTTCTTCTTCTCCCCAAAGCCCCCCAGTACATGGCTGTATATTCTAGTTGTGGGTCCTTCTGGTTGTGCTTATGGTTTGTTGATCTTTTGACTTTTTAACGATACTTTTGTTGCACACATATGTTTAAATTTTATACTGACAAATGTATCAGTTTTTTTCCTTTGTGGATTGTGGATTTTTGTGTCATACTTATAAATAATTCCTAAATTATGGTTTAAGTTTACGCATCTTTATACTTTTATAAGCCCATTTTGAATTAAAATCAATGATCTATCTGAAATCTCTTTTGGTATAAAGAGTGAGATGGATTGAACCAATTTATCTCAACATCGTTTCTTTTTCCCAAGAGAAAAATGTATTATCTTTTCCCTAGTGATTTAAAATGCTTCCTTTATCATACATGAACATTTTCTATATTCTGGGGTCTATTTTTGGCACAATATTTGGGCCCCTGAGATCGATCTGTCTGTTACTTTTTGAGCAGTAGCCATTTGTTCCTAATGTGCTTGGGCTGCCACGATCAATACCACACACAGGGGCTTAAAAAACAGACGTTTATTTCTCTCAGTCCTGGAGGTTGAAAGTCCGAGATCAAGGTGTCAGCAGGGCTGGTTTCTCCTGAGTCTCTCTCTTTGCTGTGTAGACGGCCATTCACTCCCTATGTCCTCACATGGTCATCCTTCTGTGTCCAAATTTCACCTTCTTATAAGGATGCCAGTAATATTGGACCAGGGCCCACCCCAGTGACCTCATTTTCACTTAATCACCTCTTTAAAGACCTTATCTCCAAATGCAGTCACCTTCTAAGGTTCTGGGGGCTAGGGCTCGAACAGGTGGATTTGGTGGGGACACGATTCGGCTCACTAATGCCACCTTACAACCAGGGATGAAAGATGGACCCAATGGAAAGATAGAGTCAGTAAGAAAATAAACCCATGTCTGTTTAAACCATGATGACTCAGGTCATCCACTGCCCGGCTTCAAGCATTGCTGATGATCACAAATGGCTATCCCAATATTCTACTTCTCTGGAAAATGTATTAGTCAAGAATACACATTTAGAAAGGAGGCTATGGGTCAAAATGTACAGAACTGCGGGTGTCTGCTTCCAGCTCATAGGTTATGGCCAGGTCTCTGCTTTCACCCCACTTGCTGGGGAACATACAGAAGTGAAGAAAGGATGCTCACAGGTGGTGAGCAGAAGCCGCTCAGGAGTCCTGGCTTTGTCTCTGCCTTGTTTCTCTCTAATCCAATTCCTCAGTCTTGGTTCTCTCTCCCTGTGGATTTGGATTTCACATTTGAATTTAGGCCTTCTCAGCTTTGTATTTTGAAAGTCAGGTCCCCAAAAGAGCTTTACACCAGAAATAGGACCAGCCCTGCTCTTCCCACTTCAAACTATCTGTTGAGATAACAAGGCCAGGTGCTTACCCACTGGGATCCATTTCTGGCACACCCCAAAGATCCTTACTGTCTCCCCAAGAAGGGTATTTCCACCAAAAATTACACCTTTATTATCAATATTATTGATAAAGGAGTAATTTTAATGATTAGTATTTTGAGAAATGTGTTGAAATGAATGTACCTTAATGATGATATGTTCTCTGATTTTAAAAAAGAATCCATTGGGAAGTAACAACAACAGCTTTTCGCCCACTGAGCTTTATGTTGTGTAAATATGCTATTGCCTCTGGCTTGTTTCCACTAAAAAGACATTTCACTAACGAACATTTGTTTCACTGCCACAAACAAGAATGAGTAAAAATGCTGCATAAATGCTATCATGGGTATTCTTTTCCTTCCTTCATCCTCTAATATCAGCCATTTATTCTTTCTCTAACTGACAGGTATGTGTTTCAAAGCCCCAAAAAGTGATGTCTGAAAATTCAATTACAATATCCATTTCCTTCTATTTCTGGCATGTTAAAATTCCTCCTTTGTACAAATAAACTAGGATATGGCAGAACATTTTGCTGAAAAGACCAACAATTTGCAGCAAAAACGTCACAGTTATTCTGTGACACGATGATTTTCACTAGTAAATGAAACTCAAGAAAGAAGCTCAGAGGAAAAGCTAGGGGGCAAAAAAAAGATGAATGGATCACAGTAGATTATCTTATTTTAGGAATATAAACCTGAAATTTTATTCTAAAATATCAGCATCAGATTAGTAAAACATTAATTTTAGCAACTAAGTAATTTATTTTTAAAGCCTCCTCTGGTATTTCATAACACAGGAAGGTGATTACTTTAAAAGGGAGGCAGCATAATGGTCCCCAAATATGTCCCCATGCTAAACCCTGGAAACTGTGAATTTGTTATGATAGGTGAGAAGGAGGAGTTAAGGCAGCAGATGGACTTAAAGTTGCTAATGAGACGACCTTAAAACAAGGAGATGATCTTGGGTTATCTGGGCCGGGCCAAAGTAATTACAAGGGTCCTTAAAAAGGGAAGCAGGAGGCAGAAGCATCAGGTTCAGAGTAATGGCATCAGGAGAAATACTGGACAAGCCATTGCTGGCTTTGAAGATGGAGGCAGGGGCCACAAGCCAAGGAATGTGGGTGGCCTCTTGAAGCTGGAAAAGTCAAGAAAACTTATTCTCTCTAGAACATGCGGAGGAAGTTCACCCCTTGTGACCCTCAGTTCCAGCCTAGTGAGATCCGTGTGGGATGGCTGACCTCCAGAACCGTAGCATAACTAACTTGTGTTGGTTTAAGCCACAGGATTTGTGGTAATTTGTTACAGCATCAATGGGAAATGAATACAAATGTGTTACCCTGTTATTGACTCACCATTTGGGGAAGGTCTCATTTGTCTCCTTCTCCACGAAGTCTTCTCTGAGCCATGACTTTGTGACAGAATCTTTGCCCTCCTGGAGCGCACTGCATTAGACTCCACTTTCCTGTGTACTTTCCTGTAACCTATATTAGACCGAGGTCCCTTAAAAGGTGAAACCTCGCCTTTCATCTCTGCCTGAAGAGCTGGTCTCTAAACTTTTACCCAAAATGTAGCAGAAGCAAAATATGCAGCCTATCCTAGCAACTCAAAAAATATTTATCCAACAAGAGTCATTATGAGCACATTGCACTGGTGCCTGGAAACCAATTACAAAAGTATCGTGAAGTGTTACAAGTCTGATAAAACGACTTGTCACATGTTGTAACCCGTGACCACAAAGCTTATAAAAGGTCAAACACGGAACTCAATGGTTCTGTGTCGTAACCAGCTGAGGGAGTGGTGGTTTGGTCACACAAGCTACCAGGCATTACAGGGAAACAGTAGCATCTGAGTTGCTGTTAAAACATCTGAAACATACAAAACGTTTAGAATTTGAGTAATGGCTAGTCTTAGAAGACAAACACTTGAACGAAATAAAAGTTGTCTGTGGGAGTTTCCCGGTTTTATTGTTCCCTCTTCATTTTATCATTTCCACCTGAGGATGAAACCCTCCTCTCATATCCTCCGATGCGTGCTCTTTTCCCTTTAAAAAATTTCCTTAGAATGTTACTCAGTGTCATCCACTCTCAATGTGAATTCAAGATAACGGGTAATTGCATTTTAAGCATTTTGCTCAGTTTGGACACAAACCAGTCTCCTGTTAAAGCATTTCAATGCTAAGTGAAATAAGCCAGACAGAGAAAGACAAATATACGATTTCACTCATACGTGAAACATAAACAAACACAGAGATAAAGAGAACAGATTCATGGTTACCAGAGGGGAAAGGAGTTGGGGCAGGGAGAAGGGGGTAGAGGGGCACATATGTATGGTGAAAGACTAAAACTAGACCGTTTGTGGTGAGCACAACGCAGTCTATACAGGAACTGATACATAATAATGTACACCTGAAATTACACAATGTTGTAAACCATTATGACCTCAATAAAAGAATTTTAAAAACACATTGAAAACAAGACTTCACAAAGTATTTCAGGCATCAGGAAATACGTGCTTAGGATGATGTGTGGGCAGAGGTCCTGGCTCTGCCTCAACTCCAACCCTAAAATCACACCATGAGTTGGGGGGCCAATCTAATTACTTATTCTGAGGTCATTTTAATCCTGAGGACTTTCTATTATAGGAAGCGGAAACAAAATTCAAACCATGTGTGTTAAAAGCATAAGCGAGAAAAGTAAAGCTTTCAAGCACTTCGAAGAAATATAATATCACTATGGCCTTGGGGTAGGCGCAGAGTAATTGGAAGCAGCAATTCTATTTTTCCCCATAAATTACAAGATTTATTGAGTCTATTCTCCAGTGACCTACTTCTAGGTGTCTAGTCCCGGCTTTCTCTATGTTCCTGTAGCCCCTTTGCCTCTCTCTCAGTGCTAATACACACTGCGTTATTTTCCACAGCGTTACAGACTTAATGACTCTAATAGTCCTTAATAACAAGACTTGTCTTAGTATCTGCTAAAATAAGTTTACCACACTGTCCTTCTTCAAAATGGCTTTGCCTGTGGTTGAATTTTTTCTTCTTCATCTCTCTTTCAGGATGACTTTGTTCTCCTAACCTGTTGGGATTTTTATTGGAATTGCATTGCATTTTTTGGAGAGAAATGACATCTTTATCATAGTGAGTTTCCTATCTATCAACATAGAGTTGCCATTTCTTTTAGGTCTTTGTAAATGCCTTTCATTAAAGTGTTACATTAGGGTCACGATTAAAATCTCCTTTTGACTCGTTCCATTCAAATGGGAGTATATTTTTCCCACTCAAGAGAGAGCTTCAGCTTGCATCTGGCTTTCTTTCTTTCTTTCTTTCTTTTTTTTTTTTTTGGCTTACTAATTTGTGCTCTTTATATATGAAAAATAGTGTATATCACTACTTTTAGTATCTGTATAGTATTTAATTATATAAATGTGTTATATTTTATTTAAGAAAACTCCTCTTGGTAGATTTTTACATTGTTCAATATTTGTTGTCAAAAAGTGCTATACAGAACATCTTTATTAATATATGATTTTGCCCTCGTGAGAATATAGCTGTAGGATAATTTTCATGAAGTGAAATTTCTGGTGAAAGAGTACATGCATTTAAAATTTGTGTAAATAAGGCCAAAGTGCTTTCCAAAGGTAAAAAATACATATAGCACCACATAGTTCCCCGAGCATAAACATCCCTGATCCCCATAACTTCACAGACCTTACTAGCCTTAAGTTTCATCAAATTGTTACATCTAAAAGATAAATAATATACCACTTTTATTTTCAATGTATCTTTTCTTTAGCTATGATTAATCCTGAACTTTTTTCACATATGCATGCATAAATTTGTAAAGTTTTAAAAAGTTATTATTATTATAGGCATTAGCCAAGAGGAATCTCAACAACATCTTAGGTATTCTAAAACAACCACTTACAACACCAGAAGGTAAGCAATTCAAGAGAAGAGCTGATCTCTATCAAAGGTGGATATTGGGGAACATACCTAGAAACAGAAATGAAATAAATATCTGCCAAATTATTTGGAATTTCTTAATGGGTCATTAGCATCTGTAGCCAATCTTCCTCTTTTTTTGTATGTGGGACGCCACCACAGCATGGCCTGATGAGCAGTGTGTAGGTTCATGCCCGGGATCCAAACCTGCAAACCCTTGGCCACAGAAGCAGAGCACGAGATCTTAACCACTATGCCACCCAGCCAGCCCCCTAATGGGGTCATTTTAAACAGAAACTAAAACTGCAGGCTGAAGTCAATGCTGTCATCAATGTCACAATTAAGACCCAAGATAATAAAACTATGGTATCTTAGGGTTGAAAGTAGATGGAGAAAATCTGGCATCTTTCTTCCTTTTTGCAGATGAGCCCGTTTTACAAGCTCAACAGAAAGATGAAATGCTTTATTCAAACTCATTGGTGGCAAAGTTCAGTGATGGGCAAATAGGTGACACCTAATAAATATTTACTGAGTGGAAAAAAATGAATGAGCACTTGGATTGGAGGCTGGGTTTTAGAGTGGGATCTTTCCCCTTATTCTGTGTTATTAGCACTGAGTTTGTTGACATTTCATACATTGCTTAATCCTAAACTTGGAGGCACTGAGCAAATCCCTTATTTTGCACTGCCAACAATCGTCACTGTGGTTTATGATGGATTAAGAAATAAAGGATTTCCAAAAGCATGCATGACATCAATGACATGCAATCCTGGAAAACAGCGTATTCAGTTAAACCACTTTATATTCTTCTTTCAGAGGTCAAAGAACCTCGACTTCTCTATATTAGTTTGCTAGGGCTGCCATAACAGAGTATCCCACAGTGGGGGGCTTACAACAGCAGAAATTCATTGTCTCATAGGTCTGGAGGCCAGAAGTCCAAGATCAAGCAGTTGGCAGACCGGTTCATTTTCTGAGGCTGTGAAGGAGAATCTGTTCATGTGTCCCTCCTGGCTTCTCGTGTTGCCGGCAATCTTCGGCATTCTTTCCCTGGTAGAAGTACCACCCTGAGCATTGCCTTCATCTTCACCATGCCTTCTCCTGTGAGTGTATCAATGCATCCAAATTTCCCTTTTTTATAAGGCCACCATTCATATTGGATTAGGGGCCCATCCTAATGACCTGATTTCACTTGATTACGTCTGCATTGACCCTATTTCCAAATGAGGTCACATTCTGAAGTATTGGGGGTTAGGACTCCCAACATATATTTTTCGGGAGACACAATTCAACCCATAATACCCCAATATTCTCTTAATTGCCTTTTGAAGTCCCAGCCACAGTCTATTCTGATCAATGCTCACTTGCTACTTTTACTAAAACTGTGAGTTTCACTGTAACACAGGATATGTTTTTATAACATAGGGTATTGTACAGACAGTTTTTGATTTTTCACTTCTACCTTGGGATGATCTGTGTTAATATAAATTGCGATTACATATGAGTGCTAAGATTATGTTGGGTGCTGCTAAAAATAATTATTTATAAATTCTTATTTTGTCTGTGTGTGTAGGTCAGCCATCAATTAGGTTGCATCCTGTGGGAACGTACTAGGAAGTAGCAATTACCGGATTTATATAGCATTTATTCTTCAGAGAAATCAAAATACTACAACCTCCCAGTGCCTCAGTTTCCTGCACAATCACAGGAAGGTTAATAACACCCAACTGTCTCCCCCAAGATCACAGAGATGTTGTGGCCACACAGTAACATTTATCACCCAGATTCTCAGTGGCGGAAAGGTAAGTTTGTATCATCACTTCAGCTCTGGTTCAGTTGGGTTGTCCTCTGAATAAAGAGGCACTTGGTTAAATGCAGAAGCTACTGCACTATGGAGAGCTTTTTGTAGCCTTTTGGTGACTTTCCTTTGCAGTGTTACCCTCTACATCGCTGCTGAAGCGTTTACATGTTGAGAGCGATTGCACCTGCCTAGTCTTCTTTCTTTAGAGCCTGGAAGGAGCAGGGAGATAGATGCGAGCCTGTTCACCTTAGTGGGCCTGGGGAAGGGATGAGGGAGAGGAGAGAAGGAAAGGAGGCCAAAGCTCTGGGAAGCTGAGGTCAGACTTGGGTCCTGCCTTCCTCCAGATCCACCCACACAGCACCCAAGTGTGGTTAATCCCAAAGCCCCTTCCTGCCACAGCCACAGTGCCGGCCCACCCCCTAATGCTCTGTCCTCCTTAAGCCTCTCCCTGCGGTTCAAGAAGGACAACTGGGTACTTTGGAAATCTTAGAAACCACGTGTGTAGTGTCCCCAGCCACGAAATGCAGGTGCGAGAGCAGTGGGCCAACATACCCGTGTGGGCGCTTCGACCTCTCCTGCGGTCTGCGTGACCATTCGTAAAGCGCATGACAGCACGGAATCGTGGCCCTGGAAACCATCTGGTGCCGGCAGGGACCTTATTCACAAAGCCACTCAGCCCAGGGCTAAGGCACCTGGCGGAGTCCCCCAGTAGGACGTCCTTTACTCTTACGTCATTGCCTACAGAGACCTACAGATGGACGCGTGAGCACGCAGAACGCAGACACACAACCTCCATCCCGGAGACCAAAGCCCGCGCCGCGGCTAGAGGACCACGCAGCTCGCCTGGTCCAGCGTGGGTCCGCCCCTCACCTGCGCAGCCCCGCCCCTCTCCCTCTAAGCCCCGCCCCTCGGCTGCGTAGTCCCGCCCCCTTCCTCGAAGCCCCGC